TATATATATATTTATTTATTTATTTTTTTTTTTTTTTTTTTTTTTTTCTTACTCTGTCTCTGAACATGTTCGGAGACTTTCTCCAGAAACTTGTCACGATGGGTTTCCCTCATAAGAAGATGGTATATGCTGCCAAACAAGCCCAACAGCCTTCAGGGCCTGACTGTCCCCCTAGTTTCTCTACTTCCCATAACAGTAATTTATAGAGTTTGAACTGTTTCTTCAAACTGCTACCTATCAGTCCAGTTCTCTAGCTCCACAAGGATCCAGGTCTGGCATTGGCAGCTTCTGACCTGGCCAGTCTGAACAAATGCCTTCCTGGTCACTGGCACCTGCCATTGGCCTTGTAGTGAACACACTAGAGGCTGTTAAACCCAGACCCCGTCTTTCCCAGGCCCAGCTGCCTCTGGATGCTCATCCAGGCAGATGGCCCTGCCCACCAGTGCTCTGACCAGGACTCTGTCCAAGCTCACAGTCTTGGTCCTCCTAAGAGGGTTACATGTCAAACTCCTAAATCAAGGTCCCTGTCTCTAGGATAGCAAGGGTTCTCATAAGAGATAAGCCTGGAAATCTGTCCTCCCGGATTGGTCTGCCCTGAAGAGCGCCCAAATGACCTTGGACACACAGCTCTGTCCCCTGATCTTTGTTCCCATACCCACATTGGGAATGCTATGAAATCTGCCTCAAGGCAAACCTTGGAGAATTGTGCCTGGAGATAAAGCAAGGGTGCTTGCTTCAGGCTATATTCCAGCTGGCCTCTTGGGGCCTGCCATAAGGAGCTTTTCAGGCTGTGTCCCTGATGGCCTCCTGGGGCCTCTGATAAAGAGCTTCCTGCCAGCCTAATCTGAGATAAGAGCCTAACACTCCTGCTTGGCTGTGAGGATTTGAGCCTGCCTGGTGGGAGCGGAGGGTCTGCTGTAACTCCCTGCTCTGAGCCAAGCCTAGGAACCTCTGCTCCCTCCCAGGGAGACCAACTCCTCAGGGCCCAGGACCTGGTACAGGGCCAGGGCTCTGTGGCTTCATGCTGCTGACTCCAGCTGACCCTCAGTTTCCCCAGGGGTAAAGAGAGCATGGGAAGAATGACATTTTTGTGTCCCTTCCCCACTGTACAGTCCAGGGAGCAGTGTCTTGGGCTCGCCAGACAGTTCCACCACCAAACCTGACAGCTCGAGGCCAGAGCTGTGGGCAAGGACTGTGCAGAGGCCCATGCAAGACCTTGCAACATCACCCCGCCTACCTCCCCACCTGCTCCTCTGCAGGGAAATACCTTGGTGGGGAGGAAAACAGCTGTCAAATTACTTACACACCATTCTCTGCCTGCCCTGAGTTGTAAATATGACCCATTAAGATAATGAAAGAGTTGGTTCCAAAGTTTATCTCCCCCGATTCCCCAAGATGAAAGCAAGCAGATTCCTACTCTTCTTCTCAGAGCAGAGATTTCCTTTTAGAAGATGTAGCTGATCTGGGAGAGTCTGTTTTAAAAAAAAATGATAACATAAACAAAAATATTTTAGGAGAGAAAATGGCTCGTTTGACCCTCCTTTTTTGGTGTGGTCAGTCTAAGCTGCATTGCTTAGAAAAACGAAGTGGGAGAGGTTTAATAATTACCTTTGCGACCTCTGTACCTTCTGGCTTCCTTCACTCTTAGGCACAAGATATGGCCCTTCCTGGGTTGGTTCACATTCACCAGCAGGCAGCTGGGTTAGCAGCTCCTCTCTACAAGGTCAAGGAGAAAGGTAAGGCTGGCTGGGTGATGGGAAGGCCCGGCGCTCTCCTGGCTAGGTGGTGGGGCCTGGACAGAGACTGAATTTAGAGCGGTGACATGACGATCTCACACTGGTTTTCCTCAGCAATTTTTGTTCTGTTTTGTTTATTCCTTGCATCCCAGAATGAGAAATTACTGTACCCATACTTCAGATCAGTTGTGCACCGGGGGCCTTAATGTTGAGAAGGAATTATTTTAAAAAGCCCATACTTGCCTTGGACTTGATTCCACTAAGTATATTCCAGTATGTTTTAAAGAGTTTTTACTTTTGAAAATAAAGACGCTGGATGATGGAGGCAGGACAAGTTTCAAGCAAGCCACAGCTGAGGATTAGCAGACAGTGACCTGGCATGAGACCCAGGGGGTTGGGAGGAAGACCTGCCAGGGGTGAAACAAGCCCCTGAACTTTGGAAAAGAGACAGAAGACTGTTTCCTACAGCCTCAGTAATATTAATGACTGGTTTTCTCCGTGGGGCTGAGCAAATTATCCCCAAGGGGCTGCCACCAGCCCTCCTCTAAAAGCCGAGCAGACCGCTGACTTGGGAGTCAGTGCCCTCCACTTGGGCACACCAGCCTAGGGCAGCCCTTGCTCAGCTCCTCTTTGTATTTGGCTGCTTTTGTGGAATCAAGATTCAGCCCATGTCCTCCTTGCAGTCTCCTGGAACTGGCAGGAGGAAAGATGGGGGAGGAGACGAGCCTGAGGAAACGCAAGGAGGATGAGAGGTCGTTGCAGAGTAACAAACCCCAAACCACAGATCTCCAGAAAGAGGTGAGGCCATCCGTTTCCCGGTGGGTCCTGCCCAGACCCAGGGTGGGGTGATCTGAATGAGGGAGGCCTGTCTGCTCCCCTGTGACCCACTGACGCTCACAGCTTTTATTTATAAAGTTTGTCTCTAAAAGAGCCATTCTCTAGACCTACCCCTGGCCCTGTCACCAGCGAACTCAATGTTCTCTTGAAGGCCCCACATCATACATAAGCTTCACGTGTGCTTCCACGAGCTTGGGAGCAACTGAGCGTCTGGTATTTGCTCAAACCGGTGGCTTTTGTCGAGGTGGTCGGCGGGAGCAGCTTGGTGATGGAGTGCCCTCTCCCAATCTTTAGCAAATACCTGATCCTCTTACATGCTACTCTCCTGGAAGTGGGAATGGCAGGGCTTCCAGCAGCAGAGCTCTGTCTTAAGGGTCTCACACAAAGCTTGGCTGGCATAGATGGGGCAGAGATGAATGCTCTTACTGACATATGGTGAGGAGATAGCACTGATTCTGGGTCAGGAGGGAAGGGATGCTTAAGGGGGGGTGCAGTCAGAGTAGCCAGGTGTAGCGGCTCAAGCCTATAATGGCAGAACTCTGGGCGCTAAAGCAGATTGCAAGTTCCAGCCCAGCCTGGGCATCAGAGTGACTTAGCCAAACCCTGTTCCAAAATAAAGGGCTGGGCATGTAGCTTAGTGTGAAGGTCCTGTGTTCTATCCCAGGACGGGGGGAAAAAACGGAAAGAGAAAGGAGCTGTACACTGTGCCTGTCCCAGGTGGGTATGGGCAGCAGGCGCTGGACATGGAGGGAAGGAGGCTTCAGGCCCATGTGTGAGGAAAGGGGGCCCCCCGAGCAGCTCAGGAGGAGATCAGAACTCCGAATGATGCCCGGGCAGGGCCATGCGGCTGAGCTGAAGCTGATGCTTCCTCGAGGGCTTCTCTGGGATCTGACGGGAATGACAGATTTGTCAACATGCATCAAACAGAGCAGGGGAGATCTGCACATTTCATCACATGCAAATTGTATACCAGTCAGAGAGAGAGAGAGAGAGAGAGAGAGAGAGGGAGACGGGCTAGGGACTAAACCCAAGAAGGGCCTTCTCACTGAGACACCCCCAGCCCTTTTGTACTCTTTATTTTCAGTCAACTTTGACTCCAACCTAGAATTTCTATCACTGTATTCCCGCAGACTGTTCTTGACCCTCACATGGATGTAATGGGACTCTTTGTACTTGAGTAGCTCTTAGAAAGTTCATGCCCTACAGGATGTTATGACAGAGAGGTCCCAGTCTGTCCCTGGGAGTCCTCTCTTGCTTACGCGGCTCCTGTGTCCTGGACTACTAGTCTTGATCCTGGTTTCCTTGGTGTAAAGTCCCTTCTACTCAGCCCAACAAAGAGCGTCCTCCCAAGGGCCAGTTGTGGAGTACATGATGGTTGGTGGCCAGGAGCTGGGAACCTGAGGCTGACTGTGTAACTTGGTACCAGCAGCCTTTCTGTGCTGTTTTCTCCTCCATGAAACCGAGGAGATCCACCTGCCTTGTGATCCACTTTAAAGGCATACAACTCCATGCCTAACACAGTTGAATCAATTACACACACACACACACACACACGCACACCCAGTAACAGTGTCCTGGTGGAGTCAAAGCAGTATCTCAGGGTGGACATGCCTGGAACATGGGGTTCACTTTGAGCTGGCCAGACCCAGGTGTGGGGTTTGCCTCTGGCCCTGCGAGCCCCAGGTGACAGCATTAACTCCTCTTCCTCCCTCCACGTCCCAGGTGGGCCTGTTCAGTGGCATCTGCATCATCGTGGGAACCATCATTGGCTCCGGGATCTTCATTTCCCCCAAGTCTGTGCTCAGCAACACAGGAACTGTGGGGCCCTGTCTCATCATATGGGCAGCCTGCGGGGTCCTCGCCACACTGGGTAACAAAGACTCTGCCTCCTGCACCCTCCCCGTGGAAAGCAGGGACAAGTTACAGAAGCATTGTCCTTGCTGCTGCTGAGACCCCCGACACCTCCCCCTTTTTTTTTCTTTGGTTCTTTGCACTGAATCAAGGTCTTTCTCACTAAACTACATTCCCAGCCCATTTTTAATTTTGAGACAGGGTTTCAGTAAGTTGCTAAGTTGCCCAGGCTAGGCTCAAACTTGCAATCTTTCTGCCTCTACCTCCCAGAATGCTGGGATTACAGGCATGCACCACCACACTCGGCTTGGTCCCCTTTCAATGCCTGGATGGCTTATAAGGGTAAATAGGGCTGGAGGTAAATGTCCAGTGGCCAGAACTCAGGGCCATCCTGTGTGAGAGGACTTGGGCCTGTGTGACATGGTCCCTGTGAGGAAGGCCCCAGACAAGGCTACCATCTCATGAGGGCCTGGGTGGGGTCCTACTTCTCTGTGTTCCAGGTGCTCTGTGCTTTGCAGAGCTTGGCACAATGATCACCAAGTCGGGTGGCGAGTACCCGTACCTGATGGAGGCCTTTGGGCCCATCCCTGCCTACCTCTTCTCCTGGACCAGCATGATGGTCATGAAGCCCTCATCCTTCGCCATCATCTGCCTCAGCTTTTCGGAGTATGTGTGTGCAGCCTTCTACCCGGGCTGTCAGCCTCCCAAGGTGACCATTAAATGCCTTGCCGCCGCTGCCATCTGTGAGTGCCCAAGCCTGACATCCCAGGGAGGGGCAGAGGTGGCAGAGGCAGAGGCCGCGGCAGGGATGCTGGCCTCAGGTCCTCTGTGCCCACACAGAAAGAGGCCCTGTGGGGCTGGCAACCACCTTTGGGTGCTGAGCTGCACCTAGGCCTGTGAGGGATGCAGGGAGGGCCACTGAGGGCTGTCCCTGTCACCGAGCACTGCCCTCCACTCGTGGGCTGGCTACTGACTGCTTCTGCTTTGCCCTCGGAAGCAGGAGCTTGACTCAAGGTCACTGTTAGGTGTACTGTAAAGGTTTTTCCACTCTTTTCTTGGGGATCTGGTCTCTGTGCCCTGGGACATAATGTGGTGGAAGGTGTGGGGGTGCACAAAACAGAGAGCCTCAGGGCCACAGGGAAATGTAAGATGTCACCCACCCCACCTCTTCCCAGTGCTTATCACCACCGTGAATGCTCTGAGTGTGCGGCTGGGGAGCTACGTGCAGAACGTCTTTACTGTGGCCAAGATGGTGATCGTGGTCATCATCATCATCAGTGGCCTGGTCCTCCTGGCCCAAGGTGACTGCGGTGGGAGAGGATGGGTGGGTGTCATCCTGCTCATACCTCCTTTGCTTCTGGGGCGCTCTTGTCCCTAGCCTGTGTCTGAGCCTGGTGGGAACTGGGCAGCAAGACTCAGCTGCCAGCTTCTCAGTGTGTGTCCTACTCTAGTTCTCAGGGAAGCAGTGCAGAGTCAACATCAGTCTGCTGACGCCGCTCCTCACTGTCTGGCTTAATTACAGGGAACACAAAAAATTTTGAAAATGCCTTTGCGGGTACACCGCCATCTGTGGGAGGCATCAGCCTGGCACTTTACAACGGACTCTGGGCATACGACGGATGGTAAGGGGGGGACCCTGAGGTGACCCAGGCTGTGAATAGGCTTCTATAGTCAACTCTGATTTCACTTGTTAAGTAAAAGCATCTCCTTTCTAGAAAAAATTCTTCACAAACACACACACACACACACACACACCCCATTCTTTTTCAGTACTGGGGTCTGAACCCAGGACTTTTGCATCCCCAGCTCTTCAGAGATTCTTACTTTGAGACAGAGTCTAAGTCCATAAATCGTGCTGACTAGACCTGAATTTGTGATCCTCCTGTCTCAGCTTCCCACAGTAATGACGTTGCAATTGTACACCATCATGCTCCACTATAGTCCCGGTCGTTTCTGTTTCCCTGGGACCCCACAGACACCAAGACTCCTGCCATTTTTCCTGGATGTGGCACTGACCACTGACCATGCCAGTGAGCAGTCTGTGCTGAGGCCCTGAGAGAAATTCTCATGGGGCAAAACTGGCTCCGCTGAATTAGAGGCAGCCAGGACAGCCAAGCCCTTGTCATGGCCAGGAATATTCAATGGATGGCACTTCTGTTCAGACCTGGAGGTTCTTGGGTTCTTTGCTCACATCCTTTGAGGAAGAAGCATGAGCATCCTGATGCTGGGCTTTCCCTCCTGAAGATTTTGCTTTCATCCACTTTGCAAAAAGTCCCCAATTTAAAGTACTTTGGTGACACACTGCTCCTGATGTGCGCTTCTTTCTGACACTCACTTCCCCCCCTTTTTGTCTCTCTCCTTTCTTTTATTCCAATCTGCCTTTTTTTTTTTTTTCCAGTACTGGGGATTGAAATCAGGGCCTTCAATTGAGCTACCTCCTCAGCCCTTTTTTAGTTGTTCTCATTTTCAGATGGGTGTTGCTAAGTCACTAAGCTCCCCAAGCTGGGCCCAACCTTGCAGTCTTTGCTGCCTCAGCCTCCCAGAGTGCTGGCATTACGGGTGTGTCCCACCATGCCCAGCGATGGGAAATCTGAAATGAGGCCAACATTTATTATTGTGTTTCAAAATCTTAGCCAAGAAATTCAAGTCACAAGTCACATGCCACCCTTGTTCTCTTTTCTTTTTTTCAGGAATCAACTCAATTACATCACAGAAGAACTTAGAAATCCTTACAGGTAAGAAAGCTGAGCCAGGCAGGAGACAACAAATCCAAAGCATACTTCACTTCTCGCAGGCAAAAGCAGAGCTGTTGGCTCCTATTACTCCATGATTCCATTCCAGCCGGTGGAACTTTTTGTTCTTCCAACCCAGGGCCTCGTGTATGCAAGGCAAGCGCTCTGCCACAGGAGAGAATGGCTCCTTCTAAGCTCATCATCCACTCTTAGGGTTTGGCTGTGTTTGGGGCAGTGGAATGTTCTCCAAGGGGAAGGGAGAACTCTAACTTCCTTTAACTTCAAGTTACTTTGCTTTAAACAATTCTATTCTGCTGCCCTAGTACTCGAGGGAAACTTCTCATTGGAAAATCTGTTGTTCCAGCCGGGCTGTGCCGTATCGCAGATGCCACCTAAGTGGCCTCAGAAAGGGCATCTGTGGCCTGGGCCACCACACTGAGAAGGGAGCATGTGGCAGGGAGGCAAAAGGGTCGGATGAAAGGACGCAGGACCCCGTGTTCCCTATCACTGTCTCTCTCAGAAACCTGCCCCTGGCTATTATCATCGGGATCCCTCTGGTGACACTGTGCTACATCCTCATGAACGTCTCCTACTTCACCGTGATGACCCCGACAGAACTTCTGCAGTCCCCGGCGGTGGCCGTGGTGAGTGCGGAGGGGACTGTGGCCTGTGGGAGGAGGCGAGAGGAGACTGGGAGAGGGGACAGATAGGGGAGCCGATGTGGTATGGGGGAGCTGGGTATGGGGGAGCTGGGAAGGGGCGGCGGGCTCTTCCTCTCCAGGCCTGGTCCAAGCTGCCCGGGTGCAGGCACAGTGTCTGGCTACAGGGTGGGGTGAGAGGAACCAGGGCGGGGGGCTGGCAGACAGGAGGAAGGAGAGGAGAAAAAGTGCAAGGAGTGAATTCAAAGAATGAGTTGTGGGATGCAGGCCAAATCTGGAGGGAAGGCAGACCAGGCAAGCTGGGCAGAGGGGTGCATACCCTTCATCCCAGCTACTTGGCAGGCTGAGGCAGGAGGATCACAAATTTGATCCCAGACTGGGAAACTTATGGAGACCTTATCCCAAAATAAAAATAAAAGGGCTGGGGATGTAGTTCAGAGGTAGAGAACTCTGAATTCAATCCCCCGTACCAACACACACATACACACACATGGACACTGGAAGCCTGAGACAGAAGGATCACAAGTTCCAGCCCAGCCTAGGCAATTTTTAGTGATTTAGTGAAACCCTATTTTAAAATTTTAAAAAAATTTAAAAGGTCTGCAAATGTAGCTCAGAGGAAATGTTCTAGGTTCAATTCCACTAAAGCAAGGGAGTACCAGGGACTAAAAGTGCATGGATTCCACATGCTGGAGGCCTCATGGAGTTTGCATCGGACAGAAAATGAGTTGGAAACAGAGGACATGGTGGAGGGTTAGCAGGAGCAGCTGGGTAGTTAAGGTTGAGAACAAGGTCATTCCAAAGCTAGAGCCCAGGTACTGGCAGGATTGCTCAATACCCAACAATGATGATCAGCAGTGATAGCTTTAAAGATTTCTGTCATCACCAAAAGATCCTGAGCATGGAGAGTGGTTGCACAGGCCTGTAATCCCAGCACTTTGGGAGGCTGAGGCATGAGGAACAGAAGTTCCAGCCCAGACTGGGCAACTTAGCAAGACACTGTCTCAAAATACAAAATTAAAAAAGGGCTAGGTCGGGGATTTAGCTCAGTGGTTCCACCACTTGTCTCACAAGTGCAAGGACCCGATACCAAAAAAAAAAAAAAAAAAAAAAAAAAGGTTTTCCACTCTCTGTTCTCCAGCAAGGGGCCCCAAAGGCTATGCCCAAGAAGGCAGGGTAGGAACCTTGGTTCTCTGGGAGCGCTGAGGAGCTTTTTTGGATCAGTGGCTCTTGGAGGCTATGGAGAATCCTCAGGATTCCTTTCCTTGTCCCACCAGACCTTTGGTGACCGCGTCCTCTATCCAGCCTCTTGGGTTGTTCCGCTTTTTGTGGCATTTTCCACCATTGGAGCTGCTAACGGGACCTGTTTTACTGCAGGCAGGTAGGGGACCCCAAAGTCACTCTGTCCCACGGTGGGCAGGAGGTGGCAAACCTGTTGTCACATTGAGGCGGCCCTCAGTCCCTGGAGCTGCGCCTGACCAAGCACCTCACAGCCCAAGTCAGAGCCCTAAAGTCCGGAGAACAGATGTGACCTGGACTCACAAGGCAGACTGGCAAGGGAAGGGAGGACAAGGTTGCCCATAGCCTTCTGGCGTTGTGGCAGAGCCAAGCTTTCTAACTATGGGGAAACGGTACTCAGCACAGGGAAGGGGGAAGCAAGAAGTCAATGAGCTTTGCTTTCTGCATGGTGCCTTTCAAGCTATACTGCTTTACCTACTGCTATTCCCAAACATCTTGTGTTACTACACACACAGACTGGACCAGACTTTCCCATAAATGGCCAAAGCTTAATATTCTACGCTGCAAGCATGAAGGTATCTATCATAAATCCTCAACTTTGTAGCACAAAAACTAAACACCTAAGATTGGTGCTTTAATCCCAGCAGCACTCTGGGAGGGTGAGACAGGAGGATCCCAAATTGGAGCACTTCCCAGGCAATTTAGTGACTTACCAATACCTATCTTGAAAAAAATGCTGGGGATGTAGTTCTGTGTGGCCCTGGAGTCAACACTTCAGTAGTGAAAACCAACCAGCCAGGTGTGGTTCTCTTTCAGTAAAACATCACATCAACAGATGTACTATAATTTATCCACTCATTTGGTTTGTATTCCTTTTTTTTTTTAGTTGTGGGGATCAATCTCAGGACCTTGTGCTTGCGAGGCAGGCGGCGGCACCACTGAGCTAAATCCCTGGCCCTATCCATTCATTTGGATTATTTCAAATCTGGGCTGTTATGCAAAGCTCTACTTCGGACATTCCTCTGTGTCTTTTTGCACAGATGGGACAGATGTTTCTCTGCAGGAAATTTCTGGGGACAGAATTACTGGGCCATAAAGTAACTTTACGATCAACTTTTCTATTTGGTGAAAAGAAAATCCAGATGTTTATAGGTGTGGAGCCTGTATCCCAGATGAATTAAAGTTTTACTCATCTAATAATGTGAGGAAAAAACAAAATCCACTTTACATACCAGAAGGGTGAGCTGAGGGAATAGTTTAGTAGTAGAGCATGTGTCTAGCATGTGCAAGGTCTAGGGCTCCATGCCCAGCACCAAACATCGACATTAGTGAAATATTTAAATATCTCCTGCTATTTAAAAATCAGGCTAATCATTACAGAATTGTAACAGTTCTTGTATTTTGGATACAAATCCTTTTTCAGATATGACTTGCCCATGTTTTCTTACAGTCTGCAGCTTGGCTTTTATAATACTGATTTATTCATTGGTGCATATTAGTCACACAGAATAATGAGATTCTTTATGGTGTGTTCATACAGGCGTGTATCATATTTTATCTTCATCCCTTTATTCTTTTTTCCCCTCCATCCACTTCTGCATCTCCAGAATACCTTACAGTTTCTTGACCTCTCTCCTTTGTTTTTATTTTTGGGATTTTTAGGGATAGAATGTGATTTTTTACTTTCTAAAACTGGCTAATTTCACTTAGTATGACGGTCTCCAGTTCTATCCACTTTTCTGCAAATGACATTATTTCATTCTTTATGGCTGAAATATACACAAACACACCTTACACTTTATTGTAATAGTGTTTTGATGCAAATATTTCTAAGTTTGACAAAGCCCAGCTTATAATTTTTTACATGACACGTTTTTATTGTCTTTAATACAAGTTCACAAAGATTTCCTTCTTAGAATTCTTTTTTTGTTTAGCCTTCTCTTCAGATATACAATTCAGGTAAATTGGGAGGAGGGCTGAGACAGGGTCTCACTGTGTAGCCCACCCCAGGCTGGCCTCAAACACATGGCGATTCTCAGGCCTAAACCTCTGGAGTGCTGGGTTACAGGTGTGCATCTCGATGCCCCAAAAACTTGAGCTAATTTTTTAGTTTCAGAAATGTGCTGTTTGGGGGTGGGCCAGGGGCTTGTGCTATATTATAGTCATCCTTATATTCATAGTCTTTTAATCTATGGATTCAACCAATAACAGAGCTAAAAATATTCAGAAAAAAATGGTATCTGTAGTGAAGTTGTCCAGATTGTCATTATTCAATAAACAATGCAGTGTAGCTTACACAGCATTTACACTCCATTGAGGACCGTATTAAGGGGCATGGGGGGCGTGCACAGGTTATACAAAAATAATACATCACTTGATGTAAAGGGCGTGAATGTCTGAGCAATCTGGTATCTGCAGGGACCCCTGAACCAATCCCAGAAGGATTGGAAGGGTGACTGTCACTTTTCCCCTGATGTGGGGTTTTACCTCACTTGTTGCCCAGGCTGGTCACAAACTCCTGGGTTTGAGTTGTCCTCCTGTCTCAGCCTGCCCAATAGTTGAGGCTACAGGCATGCACCACTGCATCCTGCTGTATATAATTGTTCTGGAATCAAATCTAAAGTTTTATTTTATTGGACTCTGAATTTCTCACATCAACACATCTTCTCCCTTCTTTTAAAATTAGATTCCCATATTTAATTTATAGCATAACTTTAGCTCTTTGATCGATGTGGAATGTACATTGATATTAGGCCTGAGTCATTTTTTCTAAACCTTTATCTGTTGTCCCAATACTGTTTACCGAGTAGTCTACCATTTGTGTCCCCTACTGGGTAGAAACACAACCATCATCATTCCTGTGTTTCTGGTTCATTTTGTGTCACTAACGAACTGGATTTTTCTTGTGCTTTTTGTGAAGTTTTAGTTTTGGTAATACACAATATGGCAGGACTTAGCACTCTCGAGTGAGACTGCCTATGTAGCTTCCACATGTATGATTTTATCCAGTTGCATGTTTTAGTGTTTGTTCTCACTGGTGCACGTCTGCAGGACATGACTACATCCCTCACGGGGAGGAGGTACAGCACTCATCACCCTTCATTCATTCACCCCCTTTCCTCCCCTCCCCTCCATCTCTGATCTCCCTCTCTTCCACTTGCAAGAGATGTCTATTTCCTATTTTTTATTTTGCTTATTTATATTTTGGGCTTCTCGTAGAAGAGAAACCAAATCATGTGATATTTAAGCTTGTCTGATTCATTTCGCTTAATATCATGGTCTCGAGGTGCATCTATTTTCCTACAAATGACTCGTTTATCCATCTATAGGGCAAAGTAATATGCCACTATAGAAACATATTTTCTTTATCCAGCTGCACTTTTATGGCATGGACTTTACATATAAATTTGTGAAGAACGGTTGAAATGTAGATTGAGTTCACAGCAGCATCTTGAGTCTTTTCTGTCAATTCATTTGTTTCCACTGCCTTTTTCTGGAACTCTATATCATGTTACATCATTTCAAATATGTAGTTCTACATAGATGGGTCTTGTGGTCATTGTGTTCCTTTTTTTGGGGTGGGGATAGTTCTTAAGATTGAACCTGGAATTTCCACTGAGGCACATTCCCAACTCAATCCTTTTTGAGACACGGCCTAAGTCACTAAATTGCTCAGGCTGAGCTCCAAATTGTGATCTTCCTGCTTCATCCTCCCAGAGTGCCGGGATTACAGGCATGTACCACCACACCCAGATTGGCCTTTGTATTCCTAACATTAAATTTTATGGCAGTGGAGCCAGATTATGTAGTCTTTTAAAATTCACTTCCTTACTCACTGAAAATTTTATTTCCCATGGTACTACGGATAATGTGCTATTGCAACTGTTTCTAGATTTAAAAATCAAGGCTGTAACTTGTACCATTTAAATCTTCCACTTTAATAATAGATTTACCAAATTTTACCTTCTGTTTCAAGGGCTTTTGTTTTGAAGACTGAATGCAAGGCCTTGTGCATGCTATGCAAATGCTCTATCTTGCTGTATTGCCCAAGCTGGCCTTGAATTTGCTGATTCTTCTGCCTTAGTCTCCCAATCACTGGCATGCGCCACCACATCCAACTTCAAAGGCTCCTGTTTTCTGTCTCATCCCTTTCCTGTATTCTTGGTGGACTATTTCTTTCTTTACTAGGAAGTCTGTTTAAAGCCTTAAGCTATCTTATCTGGTGTTGCTACCTCAGCTATGGTTAAGGTTATTTTCAGTAATGTCCTGTGCCTTTTATCAACTTTCAGTGTCACTGAGCTCAGTATATCTGAACAAATCCAACCTGAGTCTCTAGCAAACTTAATGTGTTTATATTTAATGTGATTAATGGTAGAGCTAGACAAATCTCTCACATATCCCTCTGCATCTTCTGGGCTTTAAAATAATCTTATACTAAGTTAATGTATTCTTTTTTTTTTTTTTTTGT